ACCCACCCATGGGTGCCCCCCCGGGGGGGGGTTTCCCATCCCCATAGGGGGAAGTTCACTGCTCAGCACTTCCTGGTTTGCAGCTGTGCGCTGTGCCACCCCCCCCTCCACCCACCTTCCCTCGTGCCTCAGTTTCCCCACCACCTGCAGCACTGCTTTGGGGGGGGGGGGGGTTGTATCCTAAATAGCGCCCAGTGCTGGGGGGGCTGAACCATCTCGGGGGGGTCCCACAGTGCCCCCATGCCTCAGTTTCCCTATGTGCTGGAGGGAGGGGGGGGGAAGGTGTGCATCCCCAAATAGCACCCGGTGCCAGAGCTTAGCCAACCCCAGAACAGTTCCTGGGGTCTGGGGGGCGGGGGGGCGTTGGGGTGACAGTTCCCCCCTTTCCCCCCCCCCCCAGGGCGAGAAAAACCACGGCTTTGATGTGCTGTACCACAACATGAAGCACGGGCAGACCTCCACCAAGGAGCTGGCAGACTTTGTGCGCGAGAGGTGCTGCGGGCTGGGGGGGGGGGGCGGGGTGGGGGGCGCCCACCCCGGGGCCCCCCCCCCCCCCCCGCCCCGCCGCCCCCCCCCCCCCCCCCCTCCCCCCCCCCCCCCCCCCCCCCCCTCTCTGACCTCCCCCCCAGGGCTGCCATCGAGGAGAGCTACGCCAAAGCCATGGTGAAGCTGTCGAAGATGGCCACCAATGGCACTCAGCTGGGGTGAGCGCGGCACCGGGGGGGGTACCCTGCATCCATGGGGGGTGGGGAGGGGGGGGGTGATGCTTATTGTGTGTGGTCCCCCCCCCCCCTGCTCTGCTCTCCCACGGTGCCAGGACCTTTGCCCCGCTCTGGGAGGTGTTCCGTGTCTCCTCTGACAAACTGGCTCTGTGTCACCTGGAGTTGGTGAGAAAACTGCAGGAGCTGCTCCGGGAGCTGTCGCGCTATGGGGAGGAGCAGGGCCGGGCACACAAGAAGGTATTGGACCCCCCCCTCCTCCATCCCGCCCCCCCCCTTGCAGCCACGCACTGCCACACAGCCCCTGTCCCACACCTCCCTTCTC